CAGCCATCCAGCCATCCAGCCATCCCGCCATCCCGCCATCCCGCCATCCCGCCATCCAGCCATCCCCCTGTCCAACCATAAATCCGTTTGCCCATCCCGCCATCCCGCCATCCCCCTGTCCAACCATAAATCCGTTTGCCCATTCATCCATTTGTGGCCCATCTGACAACCCTCCCATCCATTCTTTTCTTCCCCATAGAGTGGAGAAGACTGCATGGTTCTGCCCAGTGTCTCTCAAGAAGATGCTGTCAAGCTCTTCCCTAAGGGCGTCAAGGTCAAGGAACTCCCTTCAGGCAAGCAATACCTCCGCTACACCCCCCAACCAGAATAAACACAACAAACTCTTCACACTGAAGATGCAACGTAACAGGACTACGAGACAGTTTTAACAGTTTTATAGTACGTACAGAGTAGAATATAGTCTCCATGAGGGAAGTGTATCTTTGTAGGTGCTACGTCCAGAAATGTGACAAAGTATTAAACTTTTTCATCATACGCTTTTTCTTTATTACAGAGTAAAGTTTTAACATATTATCCTAAATTTGTAGAAATTATTCAGACTTGCTCCAAGTCATCCTTTCTCGTCTCCTGCGAGAATTATTTATAAGAGCGAAGAGAATTTCTCGAGCCCAGCGAGCGAGTGACTTTGCGAAAGTCTAAGGGTTATTTCGTGAAAAGTGATTTGAACCTTCCCCCCTCCTCCTTCCCTCCCTCCTTCTTTACCACCGTGAATTTTGTTTGGTTGACCCAACTTCAAATTTAGCTTGGGCGTAATTTTTTCCCTTTTCAGACCTTTTGCCATTTCCTAGAATATCATTTCTTTGTTTGACAGTTGCATATAAAAAGACACATGAATTTGGATGCAGCTTAAACAAAGAATCTTATTCTCGATAGAATGACACGTGGTCTGAAATGAAAAAAAACATGCGCAAGCCGTAAATGGCTATTTTTGTTGACAGTACATCACATCAATTCCAAATTTTCCAAACATATTACGAAGGTGAGCCTAAATTACTATCATAAAAACCGAGCTTGGATTGCCTGTGTATAAGGTTTGTCCCCTATACCCCTCTGAATGAATTCGAGGAATTTGATTTGGAATTTTTTTCTGGCACTTTCCTTGTGCACGATTATTTTTCACTCTCTAAAGCTGTGCCTGAAATTTTTTTGCTTTTTGCCCAAC